GGGAGGAAATAAGGATCTGGTGGTGACCGTGTCAAATGCAGCAGAGAGGTCCAGAAGGACGAGGACAGAGGAGAGAGAGGCGGCTCTAGCAGTGTGGAGTTGCTCTGAGACAACAAGGAGAGCAGTCTCTGTGGAGTGGCCTGCCTTGAAACCTGACTGGTGGGGGTCGAGGAGGTTGTTACAGTGGAGATAAGAGGAGAGTTGATTAAAGATAGCACGTTCAAGGGTTTTGGACAAAAAGGGAAGAAGAGTCTGTAGTTGTTTTCTTCAGAAGGGTTGAGGGTAGGTTTCTTCAGGAGGGGGTTGACTCTTGCCTCCTTCAGAGAATTGGGAAAACAGCCAGATAACAGAGCGTTGTTGATGAGACAGGTGAGGAACGGAAGAAGGTCAGGTGCGATAGATTGTAGAAGATGTGATGGAATCGGGTCAAGAGGGCAGGTGGTCAGACGGGCAGAGGTTACTAGGGTAAGAATTTGGTTAGGAGAGAGGGCGGTGAAAGAGGAAAGTGAGGGCGAAAGAGGTGAGGTCGGTGCGACACGAGAAGTAGGAGGTGGGTTTGAGAAGGAGAATTGTAAGAATACGTGTTCAAGATTTGGAGCCTGGTCGGGGTTATCAAAAATTCAGCCGAACGACTTCTCTCGTTCTGGGAAATTTATTTGTCAGATCACAGGTCAAGTATCAGCGCTGCGCTTGCAAAGGCAGGAGCAGTTCAGGCAGCACACAGGCCGGAAGAACAACTCACTAACATCAGCAAGAACATCATGTTTTATAACCCTTGAAAGACAGAAGGAAAGATTTCTATTGGCCCTAAACTGGCGTAGAGGAGGACCTTCCACCTCCCGCATCTAAGATCCGGTCACATCCAATGTCCAGACTCCTGACTTAACGTAAACATCGTAAACAGAGTGTGTATGTTGAATAGTGTTGGTGTGTCTCTAACCCCCCTTTGGCTGGTAAATCTGCTAGTTGACCCGCAGACCTTACATTCCTCAGCCAGGACAGAAACTGACTCCCCATCCTGTCAGACTCGTGTCTGCCTGCTCGGCACATCCTGCTTCCCCCCTTACCTAACTCTTAAATCAAGACAAGACAGCGAACCCCCAACTAAGCCCATGGTAAATGGTAAATGGACTGTACTTGTATAGCGCTTTTCTAGTCTTCCGACCACTCAAAGCGCTTTAACACTACATGACATCATTCACCCATTCACACCTATTCACACACTGATGACAGGAGAACCACACACAGTGACACCTGCCCATCAGTAACTAACATCCACACACTGTAGTCACAACTACAGGAGCAATGGTTGGTTAAGTGTCCTCGTCTTTGGTTAAGGCCTGGCCTGGGATCGAACCGACAACCCTCGGATTGGAGGACGACCTGCTCCCCACTCACCCACAGTCACCAGTCTGATCACTGAAGCAGTCATAAAAGCCATTACTCCAGGGCTAAAACTACAAAATATCAGGTAAATAAAAAGCGAAGGACTAAGATAGTTTGCATCAAAAGAAAAGTAGGAAAGTCAGAGGAGCAGTGTGTCCTAATTTTATAGGTAAGAAATTCCTGAAGTCCATGGGCAGTTTTGGATAAAGCCTTTCCTGGATGACCTGGATGACTATTAAAGTCTTTAGGCAGAGAGACTTAACAAACTCAAGAAGTCCACTGACAAGTTACTCTGCGTTAAATACATATATATGTATTTCAGGTGAGGCACCAAGCAGCCAGCATACCTCTATTCCAGACAACCATGCACAAGCTGAGAGGAACAAGATCCAAGATCTGAAAAAAAAGCATCTGACAACCAGCCACACATCAGAGACTGAGATCCAGAGAAATAGCAGAAATAGAAGAATGTTGGAATGAAATAGAGGAATCTTGGCCTCCATGAGAAAATACATAAAACCATACAGGAGACAGACAATGGTAGAGAGAGGGGCTCGGAAAAGAGGCTGCAGGACCTACCAGGACAACGGTGAAGGAGAAAGCTGCCAGGGATCAGGGGACCCACAGTAACCCAACAACAGAAGATTACCAATGAAGTAAAAACACATAGTTGTGCAATCATTGTATAACTCCTTTTCATTATAGTCTGGAGGTGATTGCGATAATGTTGTATTATTGCTGCTGTTCCTCTTCCTCTTCTCCTTTTACAAATTATTATTATTGTCTCTTTTTGAAGGTTATTCTTTTGTTTCAGTTTAGTTTATTTAATTTAATTTAATTATTTAATTTTTTTATCTTATTATATTGTATATAATGTGTATCCTTTTATTCTATTCTTCCCTGTACATGCTGCTGTGATAACAAAATTTCCCTCTTGAGGGATCAATAAAGTATCTATCTATCGATGACTAAGACAACAGAAATTCTGTGCTCCTTCACACAGAGGCACATCGTGTTCTCGGTCAAATGATTTCAAGTTTGTGCAATGATGTTTACAATCTTGTGGTGGCAAAGCCCATCCACGGTTGATTAACAGCGCATTTTTTTTCCCAGAGCCCGCCCCCCGCCCCTGTTTTAGCAAGTTCATCTTGCTTCTTTATATTCACGCCCCTCCTGCCTTAACACATACCACTGTGGTATGTTGTCAATTCTGTCTATTTGCAAACATTATTTAATAAATGTCTTGTTTAAAAGGGACAAATTAGTCTAACATTGAACAATATTATGTAGAAATGATTTGTAGATGAATATATGTTGGAATACACAAAAACTCACAGATTGTGGGATCCTGAACCACAATTGGCTTTCAGCATTGGCTTCCAGAAGTGAGCTTTTTGAAAATCCATCTGTGAAAAAATTGTCCACAGTAAAATGCATGAAAATAAAATCTATGGAGCTTTTATTCTGTTCAAAAGCAGCAATATAACAGAAATAAATATGAGTTTCGAACAGTAGGGTTTGACCTCCATTTCACACAATTTGGTATCTTTTGATGTCAGTGAGTGAAGAATTGCGACTGATTAGGCAGTGATGGATACATTATTAACTATGAATACAGTACTTTAAAATGCACATTCTTTCTGCTCTTGGTAATGCAAATTTGCAAAAGTTGTGAATAGATTTGCTCAGGCAGAAGTTGGACTTCCGGGAGCCTATTGGATGAGAACTGCCCCAGGCACAGGATATTGGCCACAAAATGGTTGATGATGGCCACAACCCCCGATCTGAAACCAGTATTTGGTATACATTCCCTTTACTGCACTTCTACAGTACAAACAACTTAATCCAATAAGTCAATGACATCGACTGCGCAATTGTGAGCAAGAACCACATCCACACAGTTCTGAAGCAGCAGATAGCTTAACTTTTCTTGTGGCTCACTTGTTTTTAAGGTTATAAAGAAAGTTTTCCGGTGCATCAAAGCCACCCGATGTTCTTTTTCCTGATGAATCTGGTAAAAAATATTGAAATGGTAGATCATTGATCAGAGGTTGCTTTACTGTATTCATCCAAGGACTGCAGTATAATTTCAGAGAAAAAATAATGTTTTATTTGTTATCAAACTGATGGAAAAAGATTATGGAAAGTAACAATTATAACACAAAAGGTGGATTTCTGGAAAGTAAAAGATCGCACCTTTACATCATAAGTGACAATGACAGATAATGGAAACACAAATGGACAGTATAATATTGTTGACTAATGATAAAAAGGTGACACGACAATGATTTAAGGTGACCAGTCCCACTTAGGCCCAAACCAACCCCAACACGCATACAGACACCACCACCATTTTAGCTCTTTTGAAACGTGAAAACCCATCTATTACGGCCTCTTTGTCTTTCTGTATTTGTCATAACTCTCACTTTATTCTCTTTCAAAAGGAAATATCACTAGTGTACCCCAGAACATGTAAACCATGATACAGAGGGAAGGGCACCTTTGTTGGACAACTGCAAGTAGTTCAATATTCATGCAACTTTAGAAACATCTCTGGTTAGAACTAGGCTAACAATACATTTTATTCTTCATGAATTATCAATATTATTCTCCACATTCCAGGTTTTTCGCCATTTAAATCAACAGTTAATAGATCTGTCATAAAATACGTCAATAAATCATGTGTCTGTACAATAGAAGTACTAAAAATTACAACTGTCATGATATATGTACAGTTTTCTACCTACAAAGTACAACAGCTAGCATGTAATAAAATATGTAAACAAATTTTATGTTTTTGACACAGTTTACTGTGACAGCAGATATAATTGACACTTTCAACATTTGAGTCTGTATAAACATTTGTTAACAGTGTTGTAGTACTGCATGTATCTTTCTCCTCACCCCTCCATAGAAAATAAGAACAACAGGCAACAAACCAACATACAGTTTTGCAAAAAGATAAAACCACCATTGGCTGTGCATCAATAATACATTTTAAGAGATTTTTCCATCTTCAATATTTCTGACAGGTTAGGGTCTCAGTTCTGATCAGATAATGAATAATTGTTTGGCATTAAATAAGAGAACATGGTCCAAGCTGAACACTGTTTACTGGACTTTTACTGTACTGTACTTTACTGTAGAATTAGGTTGGCATGCATTTAACAATCAGTTGCTTTCTACCTAGACAAACACCACTTCTTTCTGCAAGGTCTGTCAAGCAATACGGATCAAATGCCAGAGCAAACAGATTTCAGATCTGTGGCAATTTTTCTCACTTGGTATCATTCATACACAGAAATAGTCTTTTCCCGCAGTTCTCTTGTATTTTTTTTCCTTTTGCTTTCAGCAAAATATGTTAGACAACACACTTGTATAATGTATAAACCATAAAAATGTGTCCTACTCCAATGTATCGAGTCCTTTTTTATAATTACAGTTGGCCTGACCCCTCTTGTTAAGCACTACATGCTGAAAATATATAAGCTTATGAGCCTTTTGTAATGAATAATCTTCCACAAAAAAGTTGTTTAATGCCAAGGATCACCAAGCTCAAAAAGTCACTTCGGAGAATGATGTAGCTGTAAAATTGTTCTATACTGATAACGTTTCAGACCAGATAGAAGAGTAAGGTCTCTAAAGTTGCTATTTAGCCTTGTCGTTATGCTTACAATAGTAAGTGTGCTTTATATTACAGTACATATAATCATTTCAACTACTCAGCACAGTATATTATTCAAGTTCCATGTTTTACCATCATTTGTCATAGCTCCTCGCGAGGAAACCGATACGTAAATGTTCTGTCAGTGCTTTCTTTCTTCACTCTTTCATGCTCACAAAAGTCTCACAGTCACACATAGTACTCCTTATCCTTATTTTTCTGGTTCTTGTTGCTGCCTTTCAAGCTCTGCTGTTTGTCCTTAATGACAGCGCCATTGCTCTGCACAGCGGAGTTGGTTATGTAGTTCCTGCTCTCGTCCACTTGGTAGGAGCCTTCATCCCTGTTTCTGTACTTATACATGGCATACAGAAGGATGAGGATGCATAGGGCAGCGGCCGCCACTATTCCGATGACCATCCCGGTGGTGCTGCTAGATTCACGGACCACTTCCGAGGGCCCTGGAACTCGCCTTACGCCCGGCTCTGTGGGGAGTGCTGTGGGTATATTACGGAACATTGGGGAGGTTATTAATGGGCCCCTCAGCTTGGTGCTGTCTACCTCAAAGGATGTGGGCAATGGAAGCAACACTAAGTCGGGCTGGGGTTTTAGCTCGCGGTAATTCATTTTGCCAGCTGGCTGTTTGGCTGGAACATTGTTGAGGTGTGCGGTGGAGGCAGAGGTGGCGGTGGTGCGGCTCTGGTCGGCGGTTAGTAGTATGGCGGTAGTGGTAGTCCTAACGCCTCTGGAGATTGGGATTGAAGGTTTGTTAGGTCTAAAAGTCCTGGATGTATAAGCTTTGTAGCCACCTTGAAAGCCTGACGTGGATGAGGTCTTATCTGTTACCGAGGAGAATCTTCATCATCAGTAGGGGGCAGGTTAGACTTGAACGCTTCCCCAGAGCCATACCCCGATATCACCAAGCCATCATCATCACAATCAGCGCTGCCGCGGTACCCCCGCCTCAGTGTTCTTGGACTGGGACTCTTTGGTGGTCTCAACAATGGTGAGGAGTGAGTGGTGTGTGGAGGGAGTGGGAAGGATGGGAGCACGGGGAGCTACAGAGGAATGCACTAATGGATCCTGAAGTACTGGGTTGACTAACTCAGCTCCTGAGGTTGGAGAAAGACAGGGAGTCATGTTAGAGGCCAGCATAAGCATTTTCATAGTATATACTATAATAAACACATCTGGACAAAACAACAAACAGGCAACAATTAAACTCGAAACAATGAATTAAAGTTGTCATATAAATTTCTTAATAAAAAGGAAAAGTGGCATATGTAATGTATTTAAATAGGCTTAAGATGTTTGAGCCCGAAAAATGAAGTTAAATTTGCTTTAAATTCAACGTGCTTGCTCTAATTATGTATAAGGGTTTTGTACTCAATTTCTTGAGTATCAAACTGAAAAGAAAGTACAATCCGTTACTTTAAAGTGATACACTACATTTGCTGAATTATGCAGAGGACTTATGGTCAAAATACAAAGAAAAGCATACATAGTACCTCTTGTTCGATCTAGGTTAATTAAACTATCCAATTGCGATCATAATGGAAATAGCAATGGCTCTCCAATCATCTTAAACCTATTGTTTTATTTACAGAAAATTTAAGTTATAGTTGTACACACATTTCTCGGTTGCAGAGCTGTTCTGGAGGTCAAAGTTCCGTCAATCTTACATTTTATTGTCCATAACAATATACAACAATCAGTTTGTTTTTGCCACTTTGAACAGTGAAGATAGAGCTGTTAATAATAAGATACGTTTGAGATAAATGAATTGGATGCACAATTAGTTATTTTTTCATACTAAAGACAACAGTCTAATCAAAACTGATTGGATGCATTTTCCAGCCAATTCGTGATTGTATATGACAAATAATTCAACCTCTGTAATTACCATATGGGAAACCCTTTGTGAAACTAAATAAGAAAGTTCGTATATCGTAATCTGGAGTTCACAACCTAGAAATGCAAAACTTTCCGGTAGCTAATTTTTACAGTGTATCTACAGGTCAGGATCAGATGTGTGTAAATTACATGGAAGGCATCCCAGAGAGTGGAACATTAACAGAAAACTGTAGACAAATCAGGGAGATTAATTATTCAACACGTAACAATGATTTTTGTTGAAAGAGCAGCTCTGTGACCAAGAAAATGCCATCCAACTATAACGGCTTTAAGTTTATACTTAGAGCAAAGTCACCTGAATGCTCACACTGTGAAATCTGCCTGAGTGAAAGATGTCATGACATGAACCTTCTTAGCCTTGGCCAAGCAGAACAACCGGACACCTAGTCCCTGAATAATAATTTGATACATACACCCTCCTACTTTATACTAAAATAAAATAATAGTCCAAATCTTCTTAAGCACTGGTAAATGAAATATAAAATATAAAAGCAGAATCACAATGACTAAACTGTAATATATATACACATTGTATGAATCTGACACATTTGACAGAGACTTGTTTTAGAGGGACTTATATTTGTTGTACTGTTCACTATATCATTTTCTGTTAGTCTTGCTAATTACAAAGCCTTTTTAGGTTTGTCTTAATGTGGAATGAAAGTTGAATACTGCTGCTTGTTAAACAAAGAATTCCCTTCTGTATTTGTTAAAAATAGATAGTAGTTCTCACACTGTGGTAATGGTGTGTGTTTTATAACATGGCCTCCCTATTTTGTAAGTAACGTTACATTTCTGATTATGGAAATATGATCTCAAGCAGGTATAATTGGAGTGAACATTCAAAGTGCCATTGACAATGGAAAAAATATCCACTGCCATCAAGCATGTGCATACCCAATTTTGGTGCACAATACATATATGTTTAAAGAAAATCACAAACACCAACATATGCATTCACAAGCACAACACTGTTGATCAAGGCCATTTGATTGTATGGGTTCAAAGATTTATTCAGTTGTCAACGTTCACAAGTCAATTGGAGATGCAGTTTGTAAGCTTTTAGGAACCACCTCTTTAATAGATGCGGTTACAGGTAGGTCAAGGTGAATCTAGCGGTTTTTACTGGCATTAACAAGGTGTAATATACATATTACAAGTATTTGTTCATGTTTGCATCCTGTTGTTTTTCATTTGATATATAAGGAATATATATTTAAATTGACGAGGATCAGTAGCTTGTGGCTGAATAGGAGGAAATTGTTCAGAATGGTTTCAGAAACCTGGTGCGATGGAGTAATCCATATTATGAGACACCAGTTTCTAACGGTTAGCGCCTACCTACTTCCAAATGATTGGTGGTTCCTTGAGCTTTTAATAATTCAGTGATGTGTAATAGTAAAGAACTTAACACAATTTGAGTCACTATGCTTTTAGTGTGAGGTACACAAGAATAACAACGCTCCACTATTCATGTTTTACAAACTGCATCTTGAAAAAAACATTTTTAAAGAATGTAACGATACATACTGTATATTGTCAACTTACATCAACAAATTGCCGACATGATTTAGGCATGAAGAGAATTTACAAAGGAAAAGTTGTGTAAGAATGTCGGAAAGCCACTTTGTACCGTTAAAGATCATTTTTATCCATTGTAGATTGTGTTCTATCTTAACACGACGGTACAGTAGGCAACAACACATACATCCACAACACATAACATAAAAAATAAACACCATAATTCTGTTTTTTATGTTTTGTTTTTTCCTGGTAAATTTTTTTTTTTTTTTACAAAAAATGTGTATATACATTTTTTTCACTGCAATAGACTTCAATAGTATCTAAAATCTATTCATGTTAAAGTTTGTTCTAATTGTAATTCGATCTTTCATGTAGAATGGATGAATGACATTACACTTTAATATCTCTAAAGACAAGGGAGAAGGTGAAGAGAGGGTGGGACCTATGAACATACTAGGTAGGATATGGGGGTGATGAGGGTGACAGTGTAAGTCAGTTGCCATGTCCATGTAAAGGCAGTACGAAGCGGTCGGGCGGCATTAGAGCTTTGGGCTGTAAGGAAGGGATGGGGATATACAAACAATGAGCAATATACATGCCCATCTACATACAGAAAAGAACAGAAGAACTCTAACACTGACATGTCTGACAAACCCTAAACTGCAACTTTTTAACCATGCAATTCATTTGTTCTTTTTACTTCTTGTCATATTATTCAACAAAGACGTATTTGTTTAGTTAGAATAGTTTATCAAACATCTGAAAAATGGAAGATGCAAAAAAAGGATCAGGAACTTCTTCACCTACTAATTTGTGAGCTTTTGTTTATGTTTAAAAATGACTGAAGTTGAGTTGATTGAGCAACTGTTCGATTGGAATTTTTAATCCCTTAGTTTAGTATTTGACTGGAAAGTGTACTGTAGAAAATAAAAACACACAAGGTAGTCACTGAAGTAGTTCCAAATAAAAAAAACAACAACAAAGTAATTATATTTCACATTGTTATTTCAATAATATCTAATTGAAAATAAAGCAAAGCAAACATACATAATAAGCCAAAAAACAATCAGAACCAAAATGCCAGTGATCAATTGGAGTAACACAAAAAATATGATCACTTAAAAATGTCAACTGAAAAATGGTAAGATGAATGAACATCGCCAATATTTTGAATACACTACAACCAGATGCACAATAAAAACAGACATTGTTAAGAGAAGCACAGGACGGGCTCTTATGTGTTTTTTGATGACAAATGTATCCGTAATGTCAGTCAACCGGCCGTGGAGTCTGGATGTACATGTGGTACAGGCTAATAATAGCATATTATTATTCTTTGGTGTTGTTTTAGTTGTACTGCAGGATGTTGATGCATGCTTAAAGGAAGTTGCATTTAGGGAAAGTAGAAAAGAAAGAACACCAAACCAGGAGAATGTGAGACTGACCTATGTTAGAAAAACAGGAGACGGACACCAAGGGCCTCATGTACTAACGCTTTTGCGCCCACTTCAGGCGTATTTGTTTCACTACCTACATGTAAAAGCATGGCCAGGTAAGTACAAACAAGCCGCACTGAGGTGACGCGGAGACTGAAAAAAGTAAATTGCCCTTTCTGTGTCATGCATATGTGCGCCTAATTATATATTCCGCGGTATTTGCAAGCACCTCTGTTTTGCGGTGAGAATTCTCTGCCTCTTAAAAGCAGGTGTAAACCAGAATGCGGTTTCCTCACATTTGCTTCCTGGTGAAATGACAGCAGTAATCAGAGCCAGACGGCGACATAGGCCAAGGAGACGAGCTGAAAGGATTTCTGCCACAAGGGTCAGACTTTTGTGAACTGAGTGATCAAGTGAACTGAAATCATTACGCGTTACAGATTAAGCAGACACGCAATATTACAGTTACTGGAAGAAATCAAAGATGACATCTCTGACTCAGCGTTCACATTCCAGTCCAGCAGGTGTTTTGGCCGTGGTGCTGATAACGCTACGTTTGCAAATGTACGTACATGAGGCCCTGAGTCCATATCCCCTACTGTTAATGAATAGCGACTAGTTCA